GTTGTTGAGAGAGATACACACAGACTGTGAGTGTGTCACTGTGCATACCACTGCGGCTCTGCTGGATAAGTAATGATATCAAAGCAATGGTAATCAGTGACGATGTATCACGGATTAATCAAATGGCCGCTGCTGTACGGGTGGGGAGACGCTCCGGCATGGTTAATTGTGCAATTGGCCGAGAATCACCACGGTGGTTCTTTGGGAGGGGTTAATCCCATGATTTGCTACCACAGGCAATAGGTGTACGCAGTGTATCAGTCACCGTCTACCCTGGACTATGGTGCTGGCTGTGTGTTATGGAACTTCGGTATGTGTCACGGCCACTTGGAGGACACCGGGCGCCTCTTCATGTAGTACCTAACAAACAGGTGCACTGCGTTCTGTATTACCATGCATCATGCTTGATTCCAAGAAACAAGCAATCAACGAATCGTTTGAAAAGTATGCGGTGCATTGGACTGCATTACTCCGTCCTTGTTATTATAATTGCCCATGCAGACCGGAGGCATCATTCCTGAACGGCGGTGCACATGCAATGCGGAGAGATGAGTACGGGGAAATTAGTTGTTGGAAATAAACTTAAGCGTGACATAATGTTACGGTGATAATCGATGACGGTGGATGTTAGACTGTCAGCACGGCACAGGTAAAAATGGGATGCTCACGGAACCTTACTAACCTTTGGTATTGAGAACAGTTTTGTTGCCTTCCGTGTATGACCTGTGTCACGAAGGGTATTGGCCACACTGCAGGCAGATGATGTTTAAACCATTCACAAATACTCCCGACCTTGTGGGTGATCTGGTTCAAGGCTCGTTACCCACGCTTCAGGAAGCTTGAGAAATGGTTCATGGATTCTTGGAACAAGTGAGGGACCATGACTGTACAACTGCGTCAACAGTTACCTGCAATGGAAAGGCGCATTAAGTGTAATGGCTGGTTGATGTAGATGACTAGCGACAGTACACAGATGCTGAGTTTGCTGAGACGGATTGCTCGATAGAGAATACAGGCATATGGATACCATGACATGGTTTATAAGAGGAACGTGACATCACGGATACGAGGAGACACGTGTGAGTGATATATGACGTATGACATCCGGCATATAACTTGCGGTGTCATTTGCTCACATGGATTGCATAACGTAATTGACGGGGTGAGCTTCCTACAAGCCACTGTGTACGGATGACATATGCAATTAATTGGCCGCAGTGAGCCGGAATTGTGCTTGGTAACTCTACATGTGACAGTGAGTTGGCGCCGATGCCATAGCTGAGAATGTTATGTAAACCGAATGCCGTTTTCCATGTATCGTTCGTGATGTCCTCAACCTTTAGACGATATTCGTCGGACTTCCATGGTTGACGTTTCATCATCGTGGTGGATAGTTTCCGTCTTTCATTCATTCGTCATTCAACCTTTTTAGGTCTCCTACGCCGACCTTCCTTATGTCATCAGGTCAGCGCACCGCCGCTTCTGGATAACTGTCCAGCTGTCACTTACCTGTCAGTAACATGGAAGTAATTGTAGTTCAGGTTTCTTACTGGCTTTTCCATATCTCCTGCTACCTGTGTAGTATCCCGTTAGCACGCTAAAATCATTTGACTATCTGCGCGTTGCTGTGTTTTAGTCTCTAGGCTCTGAACTAATTAGCAACCATATCGCATGCCTGCGCTCCTCCCGTTCGCTGTGCTTGCATCATGTAACCTTATCTCTGTTTTGTCCAGCAAACAAGTGAAGTAGTCATGGTGCGCCACGGCACTTTTTTGGATACGTTCATTTATCTATGCATCACTACATCAATGACACCTACGTATACCGCAGTTCCTGTCTCTTACCGCCTTATCCCGGCCCGCGCTTCCTTGCTAAATGCACAACACGCATATCAAGCGCAGCCACACCGTGGATATCAAGCAACAGGCAATCACTTTAAATGGCTAAATAAGTTGCATAAAGACAACAATGCATGCAGGTACGGTGTCATAACTCTTCGCAGAATTAGCATATTGAAGTAAATTTGTTAACAAAGAATCCGCGATAAGGAAAAAATGTCCACAAGCTACTCTAAAATGTTACAAAGGCAACAGAATTACGGAAGATAAGCGTAATTAGCATAATGCACGTGGCCAGGTAATCGAAGACTATTAACATAGTGAAAAGTAGCCAAGTGAAGTGGAATGAAATGTATGCAGCCTAAAGAGACGTAGTTTAAGTGTAAGTTGGTTTATCCCAAGTGCGGTGAAGATGCATCAAGAATGCAACATCACCGTTATCATGGGGCACATACATATGTATACATACATACATACATATGTATATATATATGTAAATACATATATATATATAAGTGCATGGTTGGCGGCATCGTGTTACTGATTTGCCTGTCACTGTGTGCACACACAGGACGCCTGCGGCTGCAGAGGGACCATGGATGGCTTGCGCGGCAGCACGCACAGCCCCGACCACCCACCAGATATGCAGTGTAAACCCAAAGTAATAAGACCTGCAGGCATGAGGATGGTAGCCCCGTGTCATCAACGGACCCGGCCCACACTCCTTCACAGACGAACCCAAGCACCCTGTATATCGGAAATCAAGAGCACACATGTAGTTGGCTTGACAGTATACCGCTCCACACGGAGTGCATGTGACCGCTCTTCGAGCCTAGCACGGTCACACGGACGGTTCACCTCTTCCCCTTAGCGCACGCTTATCCGGGCTGACCACTGTCGCCCTGCACTTAAGGGGCGGTTTGCGTTTTCCGGACACGCCTGTGGATGTCGATGGAACAAGTGTTTCGGTTTCATTCCCACGCATCGCCTCAATCACTTGCGTACCTTGCGAAGGGCCAACCGCATCTCCCGTCGACGTCGGGCATACCGCAGACGCTGAGCCAA